GGTGCCCCGGCCCCCTCCTGCTCCGGTAAGGCCTCGGTTTCGGTGGGGACGCGGGAGTAGGTCAGGCGGAACAGTTCTGCTGGAGGAGGGTGGACGTATTCCAAGATCAAACCTGGTTGAAGACTGGAGTGCAACTGGGTCTGGGAGCCCCGGCGGCCCTAGTGTAATTCATTGAGTGTTGGCCTCCCCCGCCCCCTCTTTCTTCTTGCAATCTTGGCCTAGAAGTTTGGCCCGACCACAGTGCGCGTCTTTGGGGGAATGGTGAAGGGAGGGCCCTTGGCAGCAGAATTTCCCTCCTCCGGTCCTTCCTCCTGTTCCCCATCCCCCAATCCAACCGAAGTCCACGGGGTCCCGGCCGCTGGGAGATCTGGGTGTCTGTTTCCCGCGGCGGGGTCTTGTAAAGTTGATTCCGGCGGTTTCCTGATGGGGGCGGGGGAGACCGGAGGAGCGGCGCCCGGGAGTGGACAGGAGTGGGTGGGGAAACGCCTTGGGTGAAGAGTTGCAACCGGGACGAGTTGTTGTGAGAAAGCTGTGATCCGGAGATACCTTTTACACATAAAAACAAGCGAAGAGGCGGGAAACCGCAGGGCTACAGGGGAGTGTGGGGGTGGTGGTGTCGGTGGGAAGGGGGCCGTCCCTGGGGCACCACCACATAGAGGCTGCCGTGGAGTGGGGTGTGCAGCGCCCGGGCAGGGTGAGCCTAGCTACCGGTCCTCCCCTCTTCCTGGCCTCGGGCTGGCCTCACCTTTCCCAGACAACCGCACACCTCCGGAGTTCCCTCTCAGGGAGCCCTACTACCTCACCAATTCCCCGCTCAGAGTATAAACGCGGGACCACCTTCCACGGGGGCGCATTATCGCGGACATGGGGGTCGCTTCGGGGTCCTGTAAGCCTTAGCCTCGAAGAGTCAGTCTGGCTCCCTGGCCCACACCAGTCAAATACCAAATTCCGTTTCCACAGCACCGTTTCTATGCGGTAACTGGGATTTCTCCCGAAGTGAAATTTGAAGGCGACAAAGCTAGGCAATCCTGCTGTTTTGCTCCCCGTTTTGTTTTTTGTTTTTCTTTCGAAGGAGGGGTGCTGGGGGACAGTATCCGGCCCTAGCGTGGAAGAAAATAAGGGTAGGCAGCCAGCCCGGTCCAGCCGGGATTTGGGGACTGGCCTTTCTACCCGGCTCGCAGTGCAGGGTCAGACATCCCACACAAGCTCCAGGGCTCACGACGGGGAAATGGGCCCTGGACCCCACCTGCACTGAGCCTGGGGGTGGGGCAGGGAATCGAGCCCTTTGCAAATAGAATACCCTCTTCCAGCGAACCGGCAAACTGCTACAGCGAGTTTGGTTTGAGCCTCGGTGAGACTGCGATTTTGAGTTCTACCAACGCCCCTTCTTTGCCTCCACGTGTCCGCCCGCACCACCCTACACCCCCAGGGCCTGCGGACGGCCCCCGCCTTGCCGTCAGCCACCTTTTCCTTGGAAGCCCGGCCCCGCCGCGCACCGCTTTGGCGCTCCGCCCACCCTGACCTCTGGGTGCGCAGCCCCTAACGCCTTCGCCGCACCCCCTTCACACACACACACACACACACACACACACACACACACCCCTGGGTTCGGGCTCCTGACTGCGGGGAGGGCGGTGGGATGGGAGGCCGTTTTCCAACCCAGCAAGCGGGCTTCGAGGCTCAGACTTGGCTCTGTGCTCCCCCTGCGGATCCACACTTCAAGAGGAACAAGCCGACCCGTACTCGGTGCTCCCGGACCCTAGAGATGCGCGGTGCTGGGTCCTCGCCGCCTCCAGCGGGGCCCGAGGCGTCTCCCCAGCCCGCCGTGCTGGGTAGGTCGCAGGGAGGGGCTGGTCCAGTGTCGCGGTCCCCACGCTCCTCCCTCCCCCAGCTGTCTGCGTTCTCGCCGCTAGCGCCCGGGACCCAACCGCCCCTTCCTGGGATCTATAGCGGACCCGGTCCCAGCGGCTCGCCACCGCCCCCACCCCAGCTGGGCTTCTTCTTATGCAAAGCAGACGGGCTACGGGGGTTGGGGAGGGCGGTCGGCGGGGGACCTGCGAGGTGACAGCTGGACCCGGCTGCGGGCCCCTCCTGAACCCCACACCCGCCGCCGCTTCCCTTCGGTTAGGCAGGAGGAGGTTGCTGCACCCATCTGGGGGTTCAGGGAACCCTCTCTGTTGGCGGGGGGCAGCGTGGCAGAGGAGCGGAGGGTGAGGACAGGATGCCGGCTCTGGGACAGTGGCCTCTGCTCGTCCCTGTGTCCAGATGGCTGGTAAAGAGGTCCGCGGGAACCAACCCAAGCGGCTACCAGGAGGTCAGGGCGCGTCACTCCAGGCGCGCCTCCTGGCTCTGGCTTCTAGGTTTAAAGTCCAGATTTAACGCCTCCAGGGGCACAACACACTAGAATCTAGTGACTAGATGGATGTTTTCTTGGTTTCCACCGAGTTTTTATTTTAAAATGTAATTGGGCACAGAGACGTGGAGAGGAAACTGATGGAGCTTTCCAAATTCTCCGAGGCCTCTCCGCTCAGCTCTGCATTTAAACCGACGGCTGGGCTGCTCTGCGGAGAGCAACAACCTTCCCTCTACGCACATCCGCACCTCCTCAGGTCCCGTAAGCTCTGGACTGGGCACCCCGGGGCGCTCCCACCTCCCCCCAGACACGCTTGGGGAAGGCCCAGGAGCCGGTTTTCACAGGATAGGCTTTTCTTCAGAGCAAAGCGCCTGGAGGGTCAGCCCCGAGGAGGGATCCCGCCGGGGAACCGGGACAGTCTGGGTTCTGCCGGCCGCTCTGCAGTTTGGGGGGAGGGGGGCGAGGAAGGGGCTGAACGAGCCCTATCCTACACCCCCTTTCTCACCGCTGCCTCCTTAGTTCCGAGCCCCGCTTCGCCTCCCTCCCCCACGTTCTCGAGTGGCTCCTGAGGCCCAGGACCCGGGTCTGCCCCGCTGTTCATCTCCCGAGCGGCGAC